GAGCAATTACACCCATCAACGTTTTGGACGGAAGTTGATGTATATATGCAGTTGGACGTTTGCGCCACCGTAGGGCGAATCGTGCATACAACCTAATGGCCGGACCTTGTTGTTGGCGGAGCTAAACCGAACAACCGACCGCATTACCAGACAAGATTACATACATGTGTTCCTACGCTAAACTGCCCTCGTGGAACATAAAATAGATATCTTTCGATAGAAGAACAGCGAAAAGAACGCACTTCGTTTAAACACTCGCTTTGTAGTAAAAAAAATATTTTTTTAGCAAAGTCACTAAAACGTTGATGCATGTGAAAAAGTTGCATGAATTTATATCGTTATTTTATTTTTTAAATTCGCTTTTCTTCTATCGAAGGATATCCTATTGGCTTAAATATTCAGCCACACATCTGTTTTATTCATGTTCCACGAGGGCAGTTTAGCGTAGGAACACAGTTATATAAATAACTCATGAAACGTTGTTTTATTTATAAATTCAGCCTAAAATGAGTTAATATTCTTAATGAGCTACAATATAAAGAGTAACAAAGGTGTTTGATGTATGTGCTTTTTTAAGTGATATTTGTGATAATTGTAAAATGGCGAGACTCCCAGATCAAGTTCATTGCCAAGGTGTGAAGCATTGTGAGGCAGACCCTCACTATCTCAGCAAATTAAATAGAAGATTGTGAGGACCCTCGAACAGACAGGGAAGAAAAATCTGAGGAGGCCAGCTTATTCTCAGGCTTGGTTTCTGTGCATAAGAAAAATTGGAGTTAAACAAAAATGTCTACCGACCCCTGCTCGTGCCAGAAAAAGTAGAAAACTCCAAACTTGTACGTAGCAAGGGAGGACATGTTTAACAGGTTTAACAGTGAGGGAAGCAGGGAAAGGGTGAGATAGAGGCATATGCTTGATGGTTGTTCCCCCAAGGCATTCTGTTTGTAGAAACTGGGTCATGATATTAACCATGATTATGAAACCAAGAAAAATGTTTAGTTAGAATGGAAAACAGAGAGTTCTTCCAAGTAGTTCATCATTAGTAATCAGGGTCAATAAAGTCACAAAATAAAATGACACAAAGGTTGACATATTGATATTCAATTTCTTTTATTTTAATAATAACATACAATATAAATATGACTACAAACAGAAATATAAAAAACGACCAAGAAACATACAGTATTTCTTAGTCTTGTTTCCTAAAAATGATTCTAATTATTTTGTACAACAACTCTTCCCATTTCAAAATCATTTTAATGAGCAAATCTTTTTTTTTTAATTTCCATTTTAACATTTTTCTAAGTTGACCTAACTTGAATGATACAGACAAACAAGCAGCCTCCCAAGATCCTTGTTTTAAAACCAAAAATGTTTGCAGTACGTCTACATGGGCGTGTGTGTGTGTTGTGTGGAGGAGGGTGAAGCAGCCGCAGCGGCAGCAGCAGCAGCAGCAGCAGCGGCAGCAGCTGCAGCTGCAGCAACAGCAACAGCAGAGGAGGACGATGAGAGGGAGGCGGGCGGAGGCTGTGGCGTGGAGGAGCAGGAGGAGGATGAAGCTGTGGATGAGGAGGCCGCGGCTGAGGCTGTGGCTGAAGTCTCGATGAGGCTGCTGTGTGTGATGAAGCGCAGACGAAGCTTCATGGCTGGACGAAGTGTCATGATGATTTTTTCAACCTGGAGTCAGACGGAAACAGATGAAAAAATACAGTCAGAAAGACAACAGTTTCCTTACCGCTAACTGTTAACCTTTTTTTGCTAAAAATGTAGCTATGTTTGGTTATGTTTTTCTTTGATAAATTTAGTTTTTATTTTTGACTTGTTTTCACCCTCACAGAAAGACATACCTTATCCTTCGTATTTTTTTAGTGATTTTATCAGCTGTGTTTAGTCATTATTGTGATAAAACATTGTGTAAATAAATAATATAAACACACTGCTATTATGAAACGGAGTGGACATCCTACCTGCTCCTTCACACTGTCCCCAGTGTACATGTATTTGATGTGATAGAGAAAGTCACAGATTGGGTCCATGTAGCTGAGATGTTGACAATGTTGGTCAACAGCCTGGAGCATCTCATAGAAGGCAACACCAATCTAATATTTTGGGCAAATTACACAGGACAACATTTTAACAAACACCAACAGAAACATCCAATAAGTCGCCAGACCACTGTAAGACCAACATTTCTGTGTGTTTGTGTTTAGGTATGTGCTTGAAAGGTAATGTATGTTGAGGTGTATAAGGGAGTCACCAACACTGTTAAATCCCTGCACTACAAAAACACAGCCTTAAGACAACAAATACTACGACAGTTCATAGCCCAGAGTTACACGGTTGGATATTCTCTACCTCCAACATGCATCTTGTCCTTTCCTGCTGGAAGCGTTGCAGAAACGGTCCCACCAGGTGATACACGTAGAGTAACTGAAACTCTGTCTGAACGATGGGCTTCAGAGTCTCTGACAGGAATCTTTACAAATACAAACACGTACAAATATAAGGGTCAAACATATGACATGACAGAATCAAGAATAACAAGAGGGAGTTTGATGTACTTAGGAATCAGTGACATCTGCCCGATGGATGAGTGATGCCAGATGGCGTGTGCCAGCGCCAAGACGTAACTGCAGTTCATCTCACTGTAGCTCTGGTGGCAGGCTGTAAAATCCAGCAGAGCAAAGGGATAACCCGCCCACTCCGTCTCTGATGTCAGAGCTGGAGAACCTAGCACGGAGACAATGCGGTCGTGCAGAACGATCCAGTAAGGCTCCTGGAGACGGGAGAGCAGAGAAGGTCATAATTAGACTTGATCACATACTTAACTGTGTCCCTTAAGGTATCTGTGAGTGTCTTGTCTTCTTACTGGAAGTGCAGTGATCACAAGTCCAATGGCGTTCATCCAGGCTGTAATGTTCTCTCTGGGAACCAAAGGTTGGCTAAAAGGGTAAAAGTAAAAATGATTGATTAATTATTCAGTGTTTTCTCTCGGCAACCAAAAAAACATATTGACGTGATGCTGTTTTAGTTTGGTCGTACCTCTTCAGCACAACATTGAGCAGAGCGTTGCCCACGTCTTTTCCTGGCACGGCTAAAGCCATCAGCTCCACGCAGGTGACGTGCAGAGCGTGGGCTGCTGGGTTAGGGAACTCGTTGAACCTCCAGTCACATGTTGGAAAAGGACCAGGAGATTTCCCCGCCATGGGTGATAAAGAGTTAAGGAGTGAGACAAAAAAAAACAAAAAAACAACCAGTGACAACAAAGTGGTAGATGTCACTGTTTCAAATACAAGTTCAATGGTTGGAACCAACACTCTGTTCCTGTCAGTACATCAGGAGCCAGACATATAATTACAACTGGATGAGTTAACTGAGTTAGATTTTACTTTCAAACAATTACTGACAGGTTAAGACAAAGTGTGCTTCAAATACAGAGGAGAGACATCGTCTGTGAGGTAACTAAAATATTCTGGTTCCCAGGAGAACTGGGATTCTCTTTGTTCTGTCTTGATAAGTAGGGCAGTGACAAAAGCATTAACCAAAGGTCAACTTGAGAGTAATGAAGGATATTGTCCACGAGGCGTCCAATGAGCTTGCAGTAGTAGGTGTCATCGGGGATCCACACGTTGTCCTCTCTGGGGTTCATACCAAACTTCAGATAGGTCTCACTGAGGCACCAGCCTGGACTACGATTATCCTAAAAGAATAGATGATGGAGTGACATAAGACGGTAACAGCATATTATTTTAATAATATATGAAAGATAGAAATTGCATAAATATCCAAGAAGAAAAAGAAATTACAGTATCATCTCCAAACCTTTAAAGAAGACATGATGGCATGAACTAGTTTTCTCTTCAGGTTGGTTCTGTCTCTCAGGTGTCGTTCATAGTAGTGCAGTGTGTTGTACAAATATGTGACTGGTCGGTCTGAAAGGAGAGACATTTCAGCATGTGGCCATGTTCATTTTTGACTTTCAGCTCACAGTTATATTTCACCAACGCATCAGTTCTTTGTAGTAGCCCTGACTCACCGTGGAACTTATACAACCCTCCCAGATGGTCCAGCAGCGTTTCCAGAGACTTGGACACAGGAAGAAGCTCCAGGAATCGATGGATAACGATGTCAAAGACAGGCAGGAAACGTAGGCACACGTTGCCAAAGTAGATTGGCATGTACTGAGGCTGAAGCTGCATGGGAGGGTTGACTTGGTCTGCGAGACCCTCAAAGTACAACTTCTCTGGGTATTTCTGGCAGGAGATCGACAGAACGCTTTCATCAGGTAAATCTTCGACTGTATAAATATGAGTTTCTTCTTCTTTTTTTAATCATACTTGTCTTTTTGTGTCAACTGATTGTTCTAAAGTAGTGGGTCAATTTCCCCAGTGTGGGATCAATAAGGTTTAAACTTAACCTTCCCATTAATTAGGGGTGGTGAGCTTGATAATAGTTCTACCAACAAAGGAGGCGCTGTCTTATGTTGTGACTTAGTAGCATTATACCTTGTGGTAGTTCATGTGCTTGGTGTGCCAGTCACTCTGCAGCCAGTGCTCAGGAGAGTTCTCCTTGACGAAATCGTTTACTCTGTTCCTGAAGTCGTTTGGTTTCAGCAGCAGCAGCTGAATTATGAAGTAACAAACCTGAGCCTCATTGCCCTCATGGCTACGCATGGCCTGGAGGGAGGAGAAGGAGAGAAGTAGAAGGTCTCACACGACTGGTCTGATGAACAGGAATGAAAAGCAAACTACTTAATCTGTGTTCAGGTTTTGTCTTACCAAACACAGAATGAGTCTGTCCAGAGTCACTATGTTGTACTTCCAGACCATGTCATTGAGGATTTCAATGCACTTGTTGAGCTGCTGTCCACCGGCTGAGGTTGAGAACTCATAGACGAGGAAGTCTGCAAATGTACGCACGTGGGCCACAAGTGCACGAGCCCCTATTCCCTCCAAAACCCTAAAAGACAAGGGCTCCAGTGAGACGCCACACCAGAACACATCCGTACTTATATGGCTGCAAATGACATGCACACAATAAAAGGAATTCATGTTCGCTCACCTGAAGCCTATCTGGTTGATGTGATCCGTCTCCAGCAGCATCTTCCACAGCAGGCACAGGAAGAGTGGAGGGGAGCCTTGCATGGAGAAGTGAGTGATGATGTCATTCTCATTGGCCATGGATTTCCACTTCCTGTACTCCTCCTCCACGTTCTTCTTCAGGTTAAAACGAGACTCCTGTGGAACATTGTTCTGCTTGAAGAAGGCCTAAAAAAAGAGAGGATTTTACATTTGTTATTACAAATCATAGTCAGGCTTTTGTCTGTTGTTTATTGCACAGAGAGTACGTGTGCACCTGCAGTGGAGCGGGAAAGCAGGACAGAGTGTGTGAGGCCCAATTATGTGGTGTGAATGTCATGATGGTCTGGAGAATGTCTTTACACCACGTGCCGTGGATGGAGTCAGACCCAGTGAAAAAATCTGAATACATGGACAAAGAGGGGTTTTAGCAGAGGAACAAAATAGAAATGAAAGCATTAACTGAGTAATCAGAGAAAATAAATGTACAAATATATTTGTCAAAAAAAACAACTTAAAATAGAGAAACACAGGCAATCGAGAGTGACAACTACCAGTGACGTGCGTGGCTCTGGCCAGCGTGAGGATCAAGGCCCGGTTCAGTTCCTCAGACTCAGCTGACAGAACTGTCTTGGGGTCATTAAGGAAGCGGGTGAACTGTGGTTGTACTTCTGAGCTGCCAAGTGCTGTGATCAGACGCAGAGCAGTGCTCTCGACACTAGACATAGAGAAAAGACAACGGGTGAGAGACCAATTATTCTTTAGATGGAGTGTTAAAGTGGCAGAGTTAATAAAAACAAACAAACCAAAAATCCCTGCAGGATATTTTATGGAAGTCAAGCGTAAAGTGAGACATTAATGAAAGCAGTGATTTTATAAACAAGACAAACGTGTGGCAGTTCTCAGCTTCTCAGTTTACGTTTTACTGCACCTATAAAAATATTTTTTTTAAGACCAGTTTAAGTGCAACACACTGTTTGTTACAGCAACTGAACAAATTCTATGACGACACACAGAGCAAATACCATAGATGCAGCTGATTCTGGTTGGTCTGTGACACTGCAGCCAGACTGTGCAGGTGACTGAGCAGCTGGACTCTGTAGTGTGGCTGGATGTGGTGCATTCTGTAGCTGAACATCTCTAGGAGAGTGTGAAGGATTCCCCAGGCATGACACTTAAATACATTGGGCAACAACTGGCCTAAGACGAGAGAATTAAAAAGATTAGAGCGAGAATTCATGTTTTGGTATTTACAACTGGCTTAATGTATTGTTTTTTTATTTAGAAAGATGCACAAACATATAGATGCATTGATCGCATTGAGACCAAATTCAACTGGTTTTCATTATTATTCAGACTCCTGGACAAAGTAAAACATTAGTCAGATTAAAATGTTTATGTATGGTTAGAATGACAACCCTTCTAATTGACATAGCAATTGTCTAAAATTAAAGTAAACTGTTTTCTCCAGTATCATCTGGTAGAAGTGATGGCTGAATTCAAAGTACTGACTTATGAACCCTTTGATGCCCAGTGACTCAATCTCCATGTAGACCAACAGTCTGCTGTAAGTTTCCACCAGTGCAGGTGCCAGAGCATGGCTGGATTTGGCATGAGCCAACTTGATGACTCGTGTGGCGATGCTGTGGATCAGACTGGAGACGCACAGAGGGAAATTTACAAAGAGAAAAACATTAACGTGGTTTAGCATTTAATACTCTGTCTCTTTTAGCATTTCCTACCTCATTTTTGCGTGTACAGTGAGAGAATCCAGCAGGTTCATGGGCAGTGGGGTGATGGATCCTGATGCCATGCAGTTGGTGCCAGGCAGGTTGATCCTCATAGATCCGTTGCCGTAGATGGTCTCCACTAGAACACCCATTGGCAGAGTGAAGCACTCAGAGTTTGTGCTGTAAGCATTGCACAGAAGTGCGATCTTGTAGTCAGACATGCCCAGAGTCTTGTTACGCAGCGACTGCTGGAGAAACCTTTGAGACAGGAAGTGCGAAAGTGGACTCTTTAAGCAAGACAGCAGATCTTATTGCAGTGTCACGAGCACTTGTTTTTTAAGGAGGCGGTGAGGAATACTACAGTACATACTCGTGGTGTAGCTTCAGAGAGTGTGGTATGGGTATCTGGAGTTTGGAATTGTCATTCTGAGCTTTGCGGTTAAGGTGGATCCAGATGCAGGTCATGGCAAAGGAATGAGTTGACTGCGGTTTGTTGATGTCAGGAACTGGGATGCACTGAGATGAAGAAATTAAAAAAAATTACTCTTAACAATAACATCTATACTACTGCCAGAGAAAATTATAATGACTGAAAAAAAAAAGACTAATTAAATCAATTGCGAATGGCTGTGCACCTCTTTTTCTGGGTAGAGCAGGTCGAACAGCTTCATCACAGGCAGGAAGTCGGCCAGGGCGTTCTTTTGAATACTTCCTGATATGAACTGTAAAAGTACCCACATCAGATGATCTCTACCCTTGATGAGACCTCTTCCTGCAAGCTGCAAACAAATAAATCACAGAAAGAAGAAAAGACGTGAATAAATGTAACAGCAGACCTGCTACATTTCTACTGCTACTGCTAGTCAATATTTCAATTTGTCTCTGTCCTACTGATGCCTCATTTTATCAACACCCTCACCTTTTGATGCAGTGACAGCACCATGTGTGGGAAGCTGGCAAACTGAAACAGCACGAAAAAGATGAGCTGGGAGGAGAGGTGCTGCCACAGCAGTTGACTTGTTCCTCCGACATCAGCATCAAAGTGCTCCTCATTTTCGGAGCGCTCCATGGCATACACCACCAAATCCACCAGCTGCTCCTCTAACACTGGGCATCGTTGTTTATGCTAGTGGTGGAGGAGCGAAGAGTTAAAGGATAAAGACAGGAGGAAGGAGGGACAGGAGGTTAAACAGAGAAAAGAGGAAAACATTTGATAGAGACAGAGGGAGTGGGGACAGTGGGAAGAGGTGAGAAGAGAGACAGGCAGAGGGAGGGAGAACACAAGACAAGTTTAATGTCAATGCCATTTTTGTTTTCATCTTCTACAGCCTAATCCATTTCAGGACACACATGATATTCATAGATAATGCTGCAGATTAAAAGTTGACTTGTGAAACTCTTCCCTTCCCACATGCAGGACTGAATCTCCCTCTCCTGCTTCTGTCAGACGATTGCTTTTGGCATCATCTCTAAATGGAAACCTTTTCATTCTGTAATGCAATGTGTAGTGTTTCAGATAAACGCCCACAAATATTCATCAAGAATTCATCCTGTACTGCCTTTCAAATTTGTCCCAGGTGTAGTTTATACAGAGTGACTGATTCAGTCACAACACTGTCAATATGAGTCAAATCAAATCAACACAAATAATGAGACAACTTGTAAAGCTGATTCTTGGATCTGGACAATAACCTCATCAAAGCTATACTTAATTTAATTAAGCACAAAGGTTCAATGTCAGGACACAATTACATTACTACAAAATGTATAAACACCAGGCATATTAACCAGGTTTGTTGTCAATTTAAATTCAAAAACATTTTGAGATAAATATGGAAAACAACAGAAAAAGGGGGGGAGGGGATGAAGGAGAAGAAGCGGGGAGAGGTGGTTATACTTATTGGTAGGGGAAAGGGAGAAACGGGTGATGGTAGGAAGAGTTTGTCATGAACCATGACACCAACTAATGAGGTGACTGAGTTCCTGTGGAATTTTGCCCATTAATTGTTAAAATGTAAAAAACCTCAACTGTTAAGAGACAGAGCAGGAGAGAGGGTTTCTGCATTGTAGGATTTAGGAGGGTGACGATCTTACAACTACAGCAAATCACAGCCGGGACAGAACAACCAACAGAAGAACGACTAAAAGGTGCATAATGGAAAAGAAAAAGACAGCACAAGCATCAACCATCAAACGGAACCAAACGGTGCAACACATCCCTGCATGCAGGCTAACAGGTACGGGGCATTTGTGAGGCGGTGTGATAGAGAAGAGGAGGAAAATTGTAAAACCATAAGACTTCCAACCCCTTTCTTCTGCCTCTTTCCACCCCCCACCCTCTCCCCTCACACTGGTTGACACAGAAATAAAGAAATAAAAAGACAAGAGAGAGAGAAAGAAAAAGAGACAGAAACGCAGGAATCATCAAAGAAATCAACCACCAGCTGCATCTCCACCCATCAGGTACAACATACCAAGCCTTATTACTAGTGTATAATTCATATACTTAATATCTCAATACTAGCAGCCCAATGAGGAGAACTACTGTATGTTCACAACAAAGTTAAAATATTACCAGCATGTCAAGAAAGACAAATTTGCTTTTTTCACAACAGATTCTTAACAATGTTCCAGTGACAAAGCACAACACAATCAACCATTGTTTAGTTAGTCGGTACTGATACCATGTTTACACAGCCTTGTATGGCTTAGCACAGTGATTCCCAACCGTTGTGCCAGGGAACATGACTGTGCCGTGAGAGATCATCATGATGACCGTGTAAAATTATCAAATTCAAAAGAGGTGCTGTTAATGTTATTTAAATTGCAAAAGGTGTGTTTAAAGTTAATGTAAACAAAACACAAGGGAAAATCCAAAACAAACCAAGGACCTTACTGCCTCTTTGCCGTCTTTCCTTAATGCGCATCATGAACCAGTAGTGGTCATGCAACACAAGTCAGAGTCCCCTTTGTCAGTCAGACAGTCAATCAGATTCACACATTAACTGACCTGGGCAAAACACTACACTACAGATACAGAGTAAATCTAGGGGTTATTTTAATAATCCATCATTTATTATGTCATTGAGTGTGCTTCAAGGACTTACATTTCACTGCAAACAACATCCAACCAGACTGGAGAGGATTCATTGTTCATCTTTAAATGTATGACCTTTATATTGCACTATATATCTGGCTTCACAATATGCACTCATAATTATCATATTAACACTGCAGTCTGGGTAGATCTTAGCTAATAAAAGATAACACGTGGGGCAGACATTATCTTCTTCCCTTTGTCCATCTGCCCAAATGAACAACATATTTTACCAAAACTGTTGATTTTTGCCCAGGTCAGTGCAGCAGAATGCTGCAGCATTCGGTCAAACACAGGAAGACCTCACTGAAAACAGGCAGACCAATGACATCCACACATGCAGCACAGCAGGACTTGAAATGTCAACAGCAGGGTTTAAATTTACAAATGAAGCCAAACAAAATCAACTGTAAGTGAACTTAAAACAATGTCTAATAAAAGCCTGCTGAAAAGCCCAGAGACGACTCCATCACCATCAAGATGAACCAAGTTGAACCATTGTATGGTTATAGAACAGATTAAAGAGACAAAGTTGGATAGTATGCAGGTTCATTTACTCCAAATATAAAAGAAATAAATAGTGGATCAATAATCTTCATGTTTAATCTACCTACCAATGCTTACTTTTATACATTTACTTATTTGTCTGCATGTCTTGTCAGTATCTAGGGCTGGTATATCACTGTAATGTCCTGCTGAGACCATTTCAAGCTCTGTGGCATTTTCCTCTATTCCATTTGAATTTTTTTCTTGACTTTTTCATCTGCAATCCGATGCCTAGGACATCAGTGCGCTTCTAAAAAGCTCAGTGGCCAATGGGTGAGTTATTTGGAAGATCAGGTGACCAGAAAGAGGAACAACGACATACCTGGGCAATGTTCAGAGTCTAGAGAGCGCATGGCAGAAAGACAGACAAAGACAACACACAACCGGAGGACACAAAAAGAAAGAGAAACCAATAGGGAAAAAAAAGAAAGAGAAGAAGAAAAAGAAGGGACAGAGAGAAAAAGTGGTGACTAAAATGTCGCTGTTGGTTCAGCTGAGTTGGCCTCAACTCAGTCAATTCAACTATGCAAGGTGGATTCTTTATGAAGACTACAAAGCCTACTTACACCAGTGCATGTGGGTCAAGCCTCACAGCATTGGTTTGTTTTACAAACGACATAATAAGGAACGTTGCTACCATGCAACAATATCAAGGACTTTAGGTGAAAGGTGGACAGGATTGGTAATGAAATAATAAAAGAATATATTGAGCACTGACATAATACAAGGAAAATGAACCAAAGAAAAGGAAGAGTACAAAGAGGAATGCAACTGCTAAACGCTTAATTAGGAGCAAGTAGGGATTATGATTTGGCCAAGAAAATAAAAAAAAACAAACAAAAGGGATTAAATGAAAGTGAAATGCAACTTCAAGCAGATGGTTTAATGTACTTTGGTGGCAATGAGTCGATGCAGAAACAATTTTACCTGCTTATTCAGTCCCAACATATTGCACACCATCTCTCTGGAGTATGGCTGTTCTAGCACATAGCGCAGTAAAGCAGTCTGTGGCTCAAACAGGTCCTGTATTCATTAAAAAAATGTACACACACACAATCACATTGTAACAGTATCAGGGGAAATGCCAACAAGTTTGACAAATCTATGGATTGATGTCCATTACCTTGTCATAAGGCAGCATTCCTTTCAGTGGAAAGTGAAGAGTTGTCGGGTCCAACTTCCAGGAGTTACAGATGGCCCCGCTGTTATTTACCACTGGTAAAAGACTACATCGCCCTGAAAACACACAAAGAGAAGTTTGATAGTAGCTTAATAAATGTTCGTTTAGACGTCTTGTTTTTTTCCTCCTAAATGTTACACCCAAAAGACACTAATATTTTGTATGTTTATTTCTAGGTGTTTTCTCTTACCACAGATGGAGTTTATTCTGGCTGTGGGTCTGAAACTGTCCACAAAGTCAGATATCAAGCTGCCAAGTAACTATAAAAATAGAGACCGTGTAAGGAAGGAGGAAAGAGAGAGAGTGTTAGACATTTATTTGCATTAAAACCCAGGCTGTACATAGTACTTAAGAGAAGTACACACCCAGTGTGACAACTGTCCCTCTGGATACAGTTTTCTGATTTCTGTAATGGCAAAGTAAGCAGGCAGCAGACAGGCATTTCTGTCCAAAATATACTCCACTACCTTTAATAAGAACAAACAATTACTGAGATTGAATAATAATACTATGAAATAATAATGTAAAAAAATCATAAAACAACAAGTTGGCAATAAGTAAAATTGAACTAAAACTTTACCTCTCTTGCAGCCAAAAGCTGTGGGACTATAGCAGAACTGACAGTGGTAGGAATGGTCTGTATTTTATCCAAGACAGGCTTTAAAAGATCCCGGACTCCCTGAAATATATATGAATTTAGGTATTTACATTCAGCCTGGGATAATATCATCTTTAGAAAACATCACCTCAAAACAATTTGACTGGGTTGTGCACAACTGCTTAGGCCACTGACCTTGTAGTCCACCCCTCCAATAATCTTGCGGATCAGTCTAAAAGTTAATGCCCACAACTGAGTCCTTTCCCACTCCAAACTGTCTGAGTTTATTAAAGCAACACACACAATCCTGTCAAACGATAAATAAGAACATTAAGAAAACTTCTCAACTGGATATCTTTAGAATTTACATTTTTCTAGCATTAATAACAAATGCATATACAATAATTCAGGGAAGCTTATCACTACCTTGGTGGCAACAGGCTGGTCTCCACAGCCATAGCAAGACAGTCATAGAGGAAGGAGATTCTTCTTGGGCTGTGCCTACTGTGAATAAAGCGAACTATCCACTGTATGCATTGATCATGTGACTCCTTGAGAGACATGTGGATGGTTTGACAGAGTTAGTGTTGTATAGTATAAATTATTGTTATTATTGTGTTTGTGGATATATACAGAATACAGACCTGTGGCAGTGTTCCCCAGTACTGTCTGAATGCTCCTAAACAGCTGATCAGCTTCGTCCTCTCATCCTCGGGTGTGTTCATAAACATCCTAATAGTAGTAATTAGTAATTAAATTTACTAAACGATCAACTTGTATAGTACAAATAGTACAATGGTAGTATAGCGGTGTAATCTAAGCAACATGCATTAGGAAAGTATGTGTGGAACATTTATCTTACCCTGCAAATGCCTCTTCTATCATTTCTGTTTTCTGAAATCGAAGAAAAGCATAACAATTATAATGGTGGCGAAAAAACTATTATAAACATTCATGTGTGTTTGTGTGTATACATTATGGATATTAAGATAATATAATATTCTAAGTTCACTCGGGCGACGTATGATCGACATCAGTTTTCCACATTAAAGTTTTGTAAACAATGCACCAAGGCTCGATGCTGCATTGTTTGGAAGCAATCGTCTATGGATTGTGATCATCAATGTAAAAACTCACATTAGTTTACTTAATCACATCCATGCAAAAGCTTAAATTCAGATTCTGAATGTTTTAAGGCAGTGTTTATTTTCTAAGACATCTCATGGATAATAAAAATCTGAGATCGCTATACGAGATGCTAACACATTGTGAGGCGGTTTATAATTGCACAAATTACCACCACATCTTCAAAGATGCTCTGCAGCTGAGTTTCCATTGAAAGCGCCATGTTTGGATTAAAACCTTTTAAACTATCAGCAAATCATTACAAAATTAAGTCGGCAACTGCTTGCAGACGCTTCTCTAAAAACGCTAAACGGAAAGAGCCAGTGCGCCACCGGACGTGCAACACCAAAAACACTCCGGACTACCTTGAGAACAAAGACTAAAACATCTCTGTTCCGTTTCTTTTGTCATCGCCGTCTTTAATCAAACTCGTTCGTGTCCTTTTCCTACACAGGTAAATTGGGTTTTTAAAAATAACTTGGTGTGTTTTGAAAAATTAATGTCAATTTCTTTAAGTTTAGAAAGAAAGTGTATTAAAGTTAAAACTTCCAATCAGTTTCAAGCATTATACATTCTTCTATATATGAGTTTCCCCTAATAGAGCCGTATTTTAATTACTGTGGAGACAATAAATGTTCATATACAGAACTACTACTAATAAACAATTACAAGATTTCAAAATCTGGTGTTTGATGGTGTTAGATGTAATAATTTAATATTAAAATATAGCGGATCTGCAAACCAGGGATCACAAGTTTAAATAGTGCCAAGCCAATTATTTAGTAAAATGTATTTTAATTGTGTTTAATTAAGAATTGTTACAGAAATGGGTCATATAAGACTTTCATTTTTAATGTAGTGAAATTATGATGAAAATTGAGAAACTCCTCAATTTGTTTACAAAAGTTAACAGCTTTGTCTTACTGTCGAAGTTATTACAGCGCAATAAAAAGTTGCTACAGTTTGTTTTCTTTATCTTAATTGTTTTGTGAGGTGTTTTTATACGTTCTGCATTGGTAAAGCTACCCCATAATAAATTGTAGTGTTTTGATTAAGGTCAGCTGTTACGCATCCAGGAAGTTGTGAAATACAAATGTATGTATAAGGTGAAGTTAAAGTTAAGGTGAAGTTAATTCTCTCTCTCCATATATCTCCTCCCTCTCCCTCTCTCTGTTACACACGCAAACAGGTGAGGTCAGATTCCTTCCTCTTTCACGGAAACGTGTGGCACAGAGCTTGTTTATTTTAAATCAACGAGGCTTCACCACTTAACTGCTCTTAGTTAACATCCATCCCCTCTCTATCTTTTACCCCGTTCATATGTTTTTTGAACTTTTTGAACTCTTATTGGACAGAAGACGATTGTCGCCGACCGACAAGTGGACGTGAGCAGGTGCCTCTGTTGCCGCAGGAACACCATGTTTGTAGAGAAACCATGAACACTGCACACAGATATGTGGACGGTGTTGTTTCTTTTGCACCTGGCGGTTTTTAGCTGTGCATGTAAGTATTTTTATTGTTTTTGTAGTTAACGTTATTATAATTGTTTGTCGTTTTCTCCTTTCTGCCCCTCGGCTTATTACGTTGCACAACGGAGGTATTACGGATGAATGCGTTGCTAGCGGTCTGGAACAGTTTTAACTATTATTATTTTAACAAATTTCTTCTAAATGTAATAAAAAAAATAAGGTGCAAAAATCTGTAAAATTAAACTATTTTAATTTGATGGTTAACTTTTTTTTTGCCTTTCCTGGTGGCTGATAGAACTATCTTTCCTGATGACCCATAAAATGATTAAGTAAAATGTAACCAGATTTGATTCTTTCATTTCCTAAAACTTTATATGTGCTGTACACAGCCAATAGCGCAATAGGTAATGGGATACTGTTCAGTAACAAAGTATCGTTGAAATAAGACAATGGCTGCAATAAATAAATAAATAAATAAAAGAAAGAAAGAAAGAAAAACATCCAGCAAAAGTTCCAAATAGTTGCTCATATTGAATGTTTTCCATCTTTTCCCCTCAGTGCCTTCCTCTCCTACCGGCCCTACCAATGTTGTCTTCTCCTCGGTGAACTTCAGGAATGTTCTACAGTGGACTGCAGGAAATGGCACATCAAGGGAGAGCCACTTCACAGTGCAGTATGCCATGTTAGTGAAAAAAAAATGCAAATATGTACATCTTTTTATGTACATCTTTTAAAGAAGGTGGTTTTCTCACTGTTTATCCTACTAAAAATCCACCAAATCATAACTCCATAAAGATTTAGTTTCCAACATTTATCAACACTAAACTTAGCTTTAGAACAACCTGTGATTTTTTGGATATCCCAGAACTGTGAAAAAAAAGGAGTTCACCAAAGAAAGGATAGCTGCACAATATGAAGTAATCTAATATAACCTATAACTGGCAAAACCTAACCCAGTTCCCTCAGTGAGTGAAGCAGTTAGCGGAGAGGGTGTGACAATCCCAGTGTTTGTAAGGTTCTAGATCAGTTACCATGTCTTTGGGGCTGTGCTCTCTTTTCACAGCTATGGAGACACAATACAGGGTAATAAAGGGAAACGTGTGAACTGGAGGGAAGTGCAGCACTGCACTGATATACCACGGAGCTGGTGTGACCTGAGCAATGAGACGAGGGATGAAGAGCAGGGATATCATGCCAGAGTCCGTACTGTG